AGTTTATTAAATCCTCTTTACAATACATCATTGACAATATACTGAAGTCTTTAATTTAGTATTTAAAGCTAATGAAAATACAGGTACAATTTTGAATTCTATCTGTATACTTCAATGTGTACATTTTCTTGTAACCTTTCATTAAAATGTCAGCATTCCTTTGTCTTGAAAAAATAAAGAGAAACAAAGAAAAGAAAAAAATATGAATTTAGGTTGTAGACCCATGTATGACGAAACTACAAATATGTATAAACACGTGTTTTACATTAAATATGGCAAAACACAAGAATTATATAATCACTATTGTCTTTCCGACTTCATGTGATTGTTTCTCGGCCACTTATTTATAAATATTATTTATAAAAAACATATTTGAGATTTACTTTTTTTGGCATTCATTTAAAAGTTGATCTTCATAGCCTACATTTTGTGAGCTAATTTGTGATTTGTAGGCTACATACTGGATTCCATATTATCCATCAGCCTGCATATTACGGGCTTTGTTTAGCCTACTGAATTAAAAGTCATTGCGAAATATATTAAAACTTTACGTATCATAATAATATACATGATTTTTTTCTGTCATTTCTTTCGAAATTCAAGTCTGCACTAATATTCACAACATAGGCTATCATTAATAACAGACTGACGACAGGTTATTAGATAGGCTATTTATGTTTTGTAAGGGGTGAATGCACAAAATACGTAAAATATTTGTAATGCGTTGTCTTGGCCTTTTTGTCTCTTAAAATGTGAGACATCACAATTTTTATTTTTCAGAATCGTATTAACTGAACTAATGTAAATGCGTGCTTTATTTGAACATCGCTTGCACCAAGTCCAAATGTTATGGGCGAGCTGATCCATCCTCTCTCTCCGTGAAAGAAAGAGAGATTGATGGCAGGGAACCGATGAGTCTCGCTGATATCAATCGGCTCATTAACTCCAAATACGAAGCCCACCTCCGACGTAATATGTCACTGACCAAAGGGTTTCATCGCATAATTCGGCGAAAAGGCGCTTTGGTCTGTTCTCTAAACAAAAACGCATGAGATGCTGAACGCAAATATATTCGGAAACGAAATTTAGTTTACAATGATCATTATTGTCCTTTCAACAACTGCTAGCGGGCTTAGTTATTACAGCGCAAAATGTCGTTTTCTGCGACAGAACACAAGGAACATGTTGGCGTTATCATCTGTCCATTTATCCATAAAATATTTTTGCTGACAAAAGTCATCAATTAAAAACGCGACAATAGGTAAACACTTTTGGTGAACGAGAAGCGCGCAGAACAGCTGTCCTATGAATGACGGCGCGCGCGAGGACTGACTACGCTTCATTCGCAGTGTAACGAACTGTTCAAACTGTAAATATTGAGATATTCCGAGGTCAAACACTCCCCTGGGTCGAGATGATTGAAATTGGGACACCGCACAGAATAAATAAAACAAACAGATCACTGCTAGCCGCAAGTTAGTCCAGTGGCAACGGTCAAAGAGCGCATGCTGACACACATTCACTGCAAAGGATCCAATGGTGAGCAAGTGATGTAATGCTAAATTTCTCCAAATCTGTTCAGATGAAGAAACAAACACATCTACATTTTGGATAGCAGGGCCGTTGCCAGAACATGTATATAACGGTGGGGGATTACGTTTTCATAAGGGGCACACTTTTTATGAAATCAGAAAAAGACATTCACCAAAACAATAACAACGGGTATTACAACTGAAATAGATAATGTTCAATATTAAAACATATAGTTCAACCTACAACAATTCAGATAAATTAATTAACTAAAAACATTTGCATTATGTGAGTCTCGCTGATATCAATCGGCTCATTAACTCCAAATACGAAGCCCACCTCCGACGTAATATGTCACTGACCAAAGGGTTTCATCGCATAATTCGGCGAAAAGGCGCTTTGGTCTGTTCTCTAAACAAAAACGCATGAGATGCTGAACGCAAATATATTCGGAAACGAAATTTAGTTTACAATGATCATTATTGTCCTTTCAACAACTGCTAGCGGGCTTAGTTATTACAGCGCAAAATGTCGTTTTCTGCGACAGAACACAAGGAACATGTTGGCGTTATCATCTGTCCATTTATCCATAAAATATTTTTGCTGACAAAAGTCATCAATTAAAAACGCGACAATAGGTAAACACTTTTGGTGAACGAGAAGCGCGCAGAACAGCTGTCCTATGAATGACGGCGCGCGCGAGGACTGACTACGCTTCATTCGCAGTGTAACGAACTGTTCAAACTGTAAATATTGAGATATTCCGAGGTCAAACACTCCCCTGGGTCGAGATGATTGAAATTGGGACACCGCACAGAATAAATAAAACAAACAGATCACTGCTAGCCGCAAGTTAGTCCAGTGGCAACGGTCAAAGAGCGCATGCTGACACACAATGAACTGTCTCGTGTCTGGTTCTTCTTTGTCAATATTTACGTGGAAATTAGCTCACATAATTCGGTTTAAATCGTCAGCATCAAGTGCCTAAATGTGTCACGGGGCTCAATCCTGACTGAGGCACCTTTCAGTCAGACATTTTTGATAAATCAGAGCCTATGCCTCAAGAGAGCAGTCGCTTACGAGAATTTGCCAACACAGATGCGGTGCTCGTGTGTGGGCGCAAGGCTTGGGCTACACACCATTAAGCTCGAGCCGCAGCTGAGTAAAATGTGAAATGGGAGAATTAATCGATCCCAGGACGATGCTTTTTTCAGTCTTGTGGGAGTATGAATTCTTTTATTCATGAGCGCGTTTTATGTCACTTCCATTAGGCAGTGGACATTTTTTGAGTGTATTTGAACATACATTTTCATAATTGCAGCCAATATGTTTGCAGAGCCCACAAAAACTTGAGGAATCTTTTCCTTGTGTAGGTGTGAACAATAACTCTCATCATCCCATATACCCAGGAAAAACTTCAAAAGCGCCTTTATCTGCTATTTTGCCCAGTTCTCTTTGTTTTGCCTCAGTTTTTAACATATAATGTATTCATTCTCTTCTTGAGTGGGCATTTTGGGTCCTGCATGAAGTGCATGGGCAGTTAGGAGGAGGTGAGTCAGCGCGGGGGATGGAGAGCGCTGGTTAAGGGTCACAACTGCGCTAATGCTGAGTGGCAGTCGATAATGCCAAGCCGTATCAAAATCTGACCCTTGGCCCTTGGAGCTCTTAAATTATTCGCCACCAAGGTAGAAAAGGACACGCATTCACACTCATAGCTACACGCGCTTTCCTGTGAACCCCTTTGTTGCATGCCGCATTTTCCTTTACAGAATAAAAGGTCATTTCCCCGCCAACTTAAATAACATACGTTATTTCTTGGCACCGTATAGCTGTTGGAAAATATTGAAACAATCAGGCCTCGCAGGTATACCTCTCTGGAGCGTAAAATGCAGCATTTTTAAGTGGCAGCCTTAAAATGAATGGTTTGCAGTGAATCTTTGCATCATTTTAGTTTAAGCAAAGTTGGTTGTATATGGTTCTTTGAATTTTTTTATTATTATTTATTAATTAAATGTTTTACTTTTCTTTTTCAATGTTTCGTTATGGATTCTTTAGATCAGCGTATTGGTTTATGGGTTCTCTAAAGCACCAGTACGTACGGTAGGCTACAAAGGTTCTTAAAAATGTTTTGCAGTGACAGTGGCTGCAAAACCCATTTGGTTCGAATTCGAACCCATTTTCATTAATCTGATTAAGTAGGGTACCTGGAAATAACAATAACAATAAAAGACAAATAAAAAGCAAACATACACGATATAATAGAATTAGGTAGGACGGATCTCAAAGTTTCATGCCAATTCAAGAACACGAGTCTATTGGATGCAACCTTTGAAAATATTGAAATAAGGTTCCCACTCTATAATGAGACAGCTTTGATGCTGCCATTTCGAGTGTGGCTCGTGGGACTTCAATATCCGCACTGCAACTAATCCAATTACACGAATCATAAACTGTGATTGGCGGGATTGCTGTTGGCTCCAATGCCACGCGAGCGTTTTCCAATTAGGCCTATTCCTAAAACCTACAGTATTGATGTAAAGGTTCTAGACCACGTCAGACGAAATTCTTATCTCGAAAAGCATAATTGCGAGAGAGAGAACGCCATGGTTGCACTCTTCATGAAACATCTGGACTATTTCTGGATTGTTTGTAGGTCAATTGAGTCAACTGAAGCTACCTGTACATGCATATAATTACAAAAATACATGTTAATGTGAAAACATTACATGAGAATGACGTTTGAGACAGATGGATGAAAGTCAGGGGCGACAGGAGACAAAGAGCGGAAAATTAAACGAGCTCGGGAAATTGAGCGGAAGTAGAGCAGTGAAGCTGAACCGCCTGCGTCACGGTGGGTGCAGCAGTTCGGTGTCTCTCCAGCTCTGATTAAGGCCACCTCGCAAACAATCAACAGGCCAAAAGGGTCTGCTAAATAAGTGACAGTGTCAAATTTTGCTAGGTACATAGTATACCCTATAAATACATCATATGTATTGCGAATAAACGGATATTTAAACTTAAATGTATAATGTTCAAAACAGCAAATCGCCAGTGTTCAATCAACTCAGCTAGAATTAGATTTAATTTCTGTATTAGTTAATTTAGCAGTGGTGCTTTCACTGTGTACCACAGTGCTCCGTTCTTAATGGAGAGACTGTTTCATTCATGCAATCTCTGTCCATTCATCAGAGCACCGTAGCGTACCCTCTGAGTTCAAACGAGACACGAAATTCTTATCAATGGAGAGTTCTGACGTCAACAGCGGCGCGATGACTCGTGAATCACGTGTCCAGACGCGTCTATACAAAGGGGAGTTGCGCTGTCCGTGGTCCTGAAAAAATCACGCTCCGCATTCATCTCTCAACACGACAGATCGAAGTGTGTTTCAAATAATTCTCGTGGGAAGCACAAGAATTATTCGACTCAAGTTTTTTTGACTTACTTTAACTCAAGTTTTACATGAACTTAAGGATAGCGGTTGTTTCCATACCTCATTTAAGAAGCACAAGGTTTTGAGTTCCAGCTAATTTGCTCGGGAAATCAGGTAAGTGCTCTGCCATTCCTACACGCACTCGATAAATAGTTTATAGTTCCCTATAAAAACAAAGAGAAGCCATGAAGGACTAGAGATAAGTTTTCCGCTGATACCTACTTTGAGATGATGTTGAATCTCAGTGCAAGTCATTCAAGGAGATACAGGTCGACCGATCAACAAGCGTTTCATTCATACATTTCTAAACGCCTTTTTTTCTTTAGTAAGAATACACGATCCGCATCAGTATCTTTCCGACAAGGTAATCTTGATATGTGATGTCTATGTTTTTTCTTTGTTAAAGCAATACATAATAATAATAAAAATAATATTTTGGGATCGTGTGCGTTGGAATGAGGATTTTAAATAAATCTTAAGACTAGTTGGCTGGGAGTTCATTCTTTGAAAATCGAAAGGAGGGAGAGAACGTACAAACTAATAAATGAACGATCAAATTGCTTTTATATGAATGAATAAAAAGAAAAATATGTTGACTGACATAGTAGGTTTTTCTCGCAGTTTGCATTTCAGGAGAGAGTGAGAGAAAGCACATCTGAATTTATAAGGTTTTATTCAGGCATGCTTTCGATTCCCTTGCAAGTCAAGAAAGACAATTTACACTGTTGTTTTAATATAGTTATTAACCATATGTCGCCTTGTTGTGGCGTTTCGCTAATCCGACTCTAGAAATGATAGGTGAAGAGGCAACCAGGAAATTCGCTCGATATTGCCTTTATACGTAGTCTCCGTGTGGACTCACTTTAATTAAAGCAGCACAATTAATTAGATTTAAAAAGTGATAGTGTATTGTGCTGACAACGTACTGCTGTAAAACAAGCGCAAGTTGTAATATTCTACCATACTAATTCAGTTAAACAGATTTCAGCTCATGCACGTTATAATGCTGTAGAGACGAGATGTTAAAATATCAGTGTCAATAAAATGTATAGTCTTGTTAATGTTCAGAAAAAAAACACAAATTAATCACCATTTATTTCTTTTGTCTTTGTCAGGTGCTCCCCTCTCCCCCATCCTGTCCTCTCTGCATGGTCATGTTCTGCTGTTGCTACCCCTCCAGCACCTCAGCTCTCCTGTTATTCCTCCTCAGCCTCACCCCCCTGCTGGCCCTGGCTGGCCCTGCACCTCAGCAGAGATCTTCAGTCAGCAGCAGCATCAATGAGGCTCTCAACTTGGCAAAAGAGGACCCGGGGGCAGCAGAAGGAGCTGCTTGGACACATAGGAAAGTGGACAGCCTGCTCCAGAAACCCTTGGGACAGGAACATGTCTCAGATATGGACTCTGCCAGTTCTCTAGCCTCGGTTCTGCTTGAGGCTCTTGACCACCCAGTTAGAGTGAAGATGACCCAGGGGGATTTTGAAGAAGGACTCGCGATAGATGCAATGAGGAATCAGGGAGACCTTGAGCAGGACACAGAGAAATCGGCAGAGGTTGTACAGCAAGGGGAGGAAAATTGGGGACAAGAAAAACCAAAGGATGAAAGTGAGAGTGTGAAGGAGGACGAAGTGAATACGTCTGAAGGAACGGCCGGGCAGAGTAAGTCTAACGTGGCCAACCCCCTCCAGCGCAAAACCAGGGGCTATTTCCAAAACATTGACCTCGGGCTGCAAGACAATGAGATCCTCCCACCTCTAAAAGGCTATAAAGCCTATAACCAGCAACTGGCCCAGGCGACCAAGAAGCTTAAGTGGCAGGAGGAACGAACGAGAAACCCATCCCAGCTTGACAGAAACTTCATGGATGATTTCGATTTTGTGGAAGAAGAGGAGGAGATTCTGACCCGCAAGGAGGAGGAGGCACGGGCACGGGCAGAGCAGGAGGAGGTGAGGCGGCAGGAGGCCGAGGCACAGGAGGCGCGTGAGGAGGAGCAGAGATTGGCAGACATCGCCTCTGACATGCTTCTGGAGTATATGGGCAGGAAGCAGAAAGCATCGTCCTACATGAGAGACATGAAGGCGGCGGCTCTTCTAAACAACGTGGCTGAGGACAAGCGCTCAAACGAGGTGGAGGATAACGACGATGATGATGAGATGGATCCCCAGACCATCGACAAGTTGATAGAGATTTCCAGCAAGCTGCACTTGCCTGCTGACGATGTGGTCGAAATAATCAGCGATGTTCAGGAGAAGAAGAAAAAGAGGAAGGATTTACCCCCGAGCAACACCCCTCGTTTCCGCCCTCTAGTTCCTCTCAAAGCCAAGCCGAGGCCTCAGGCATATCAATATCCTAAGTCACCTAAGAAATCCTCTTATACAGTCGATCCATATAAGAAATGGTACAAGGAGAAAAACAAAGGCAAGCTCAGCAAGCAGGACTACTGGTTTAAGCCGCAGAAGCAGTTTCTGGCCTATCCCTCATTCCCCTATTATCAGAAGCCATATCGAGCCTATTACCCGGTCTACTTCCCGCCCCCCAAGCCGCGGTTCTATACAAATCCCGCTCTGTCGTTTGACTACAACTTTGGGGGCTCCATGGGGTACGGTCTGAAGCCTCCAAGCCGTAGGTACAGAGACAGGCCCAAGGCCAGGGACTGGAAATTGGCGCAAGCCCCGCAACGCTCCCAGAGCCCCTACCCACAACCGGACACTGTCATATCTAATTACATTCTCCCCCATCCCCGAACTTACCAGGCTCTCCCTATGCCCAAACCACGTTCTCCTCAGAGTGGGAGAGCACCTTCTTACATCTACCCACCAGACTATGTGTACGATGAGCCGGAGTCTCCACAGGGGAGCGATGAAGAACTGGAGAACTTCATTGAGAAGATTTATTACAACCGTAGGTTATTTTAGTCAGCTGGGAGTTCAGGATATTCTAAAGCGATGAAACAAGCGATGAAAGAGTGAGGAGAAAAAGCTGACAGGGAGTTTGAGCGACAGGGCTGTGAAAAGACAGTTAGGTGTTTCTTCTCCACTCTTGTGTTTTGATACATTCCAAATCAGGAACGGAAGAGATGGTGCTGCTATATCAGAACCTCTCTGCGTGCACTCATTTGGTTTCTCTCGCAGTTTACATTTTAATTTGGTGAGAGAATACACAGGTGAATTTGTAAGGTTTCATTCAGGTATATTTTTGATTCTCTTGCATGTGGAAAAAAAATACAAACGATAAAACAAAAAGAAACCAAAAACAAGCAGACAAAATGGTCAAAGAAAACATTTTGGTGCCAATTGCAAGAGACCCATGTTTATACAAAGATTTATTTTCTTTAGGAAACACTTGATTAATTGAAAAGCAAAGCTTGGGGTTGCATTATTGATACTGCAGGGCACAGTAATAATTGTTATGGCACTAGTTACACAAACAAGTAACTGTCAAATTATTACAGGCTTTTCCTGAGGGTCTGTTTGATTGTTTTGATCAATGTTCCTATTGCCTTAATACTGATCACTGTTTTCGCTCATCCATGTGCATGCAGGTCTTGCACCACTAAAAAAAAGAATTCTGTCATGCACGCTGTAAACAATGCTTGAAACTAAATCTTCCATTTTATTCACAGAAATGCAAAATGATGAATATCTTTGCTAGGTGGGTGCCCTGTCAATCTGCTTGGTGGAATACCTGTACACAGGTGATTTACTGTAAACTTAACATCTTGCCAAAATTTCTAACAAATTTTAAAAATGCCCCTGTTGTTGTGGGTTACCTCCAATGTTCAACCACTGAGTACAGTATCTTTGTCTTGAGACCCAAAAGAACGCTGTATAGTAATGTTTGTTCCTAAAAAAGGTTTAAAATGTCTGAAGTTTGTGAGGAATACTCTAAGAGTGAACAGTTTGCACGTCTATCTGTATTTGCATCTTTAAAAAAAAACACACAAAAAAACAAACAAACAAAAAAAGACAAATTTGGGGAAAATTTCCTTGATCAAACTGTGATTATTTTAAAAATTAATAAAAAGAAGAAAAAAAAAACAAAAAACAAAGAAAGACAACTCTAATTACTATAGCAAGTGTTTTCATCAGTGAACTGTCTTGTGAAAGGAATTTGTTGTTGTCAACTTCCCGATTGTAAGTTGTACAGTGTCAAATAAACAAGTGTGTGTGCAATGTGTAAATAACAGCATGTTGATCACTAGTTTTGCTATATGACGAAAATAAAAGCAATTATTTTATTAAAGTCAGTTTTTTTAACAAATGTCTTATTGGAACGTCTTTGATCAGATCCTGAGCAGAAATTAATTAATTTCTGTACCACAGAGGGTTCTTGCCAGGATGATATATGCCGTTTCTTATCTCACCTGTAGCAGAAATTGCATTTGACGTCACAGAAAGTTTGAACCAGCATGCCCAGTACATCTTTGAATTTTATCTCTATTTTCCACAAGCTTTTTCTCATGCTGTATTACAGCTGAACACTGAAAACACAAACTGACTGACTACAGAGACAATTTATTCTCCAGCTACTCATATACCTACAAAGATCTCTAATGAAACAGATAGATATGCAGCTCTATGATTCTTAAAAAACCTTTACGAGTCACGGCCTCATTACTCATGGCATCCTGTTCCTCAACAAGCATTCATCGGAACATGTTGTGATTATTAAGATTGAACATGTTTACCAAACATCAGAGCAAAACATGTACAGAATTACGTGAAAGAAGATGTAAGTGCATCTGAATGCAAGCTGTTCAGCAAAATGATGCTGTTCAATAAGATGCCACTAGATGAAAGTCATTCGCTAATAAAAAGAACTTGGAATAATAAAAGGCGAGTAATGTGATGGGAATAGACATGGAGACACACTGAGACCAAATGAAAGAGAGGGGTGGGGAGAGAGAAAGCTGCAGTGATTAATGAGTCACATGATTGACGGGTGAGTCATCTACTGCCATGCACCACTGCAGAACCTCAAGCACTTATACCCTCTCCCTCCCTCTCTCTCTCACACAGAGGCACAAACACCAGCCCACTCCCCCACACCCTGACTTTGGACACAATGCAGAACTCAATTATGCTCAAAAACACCTGCATTAGGCAAGACGCAAACACACCTATTGCCAGAAGGCCTTGCCGTCTAATTCAAACTACACAGCATTTAGTTAAAACACCACCAAGACCTCACGGCGACCGATAATAGTGGGGGTTAACCCCAAACAGACGTTCATTATCGTGCTGATGCACTCTAAACATCTACGGCTTCCCATCCAACAGCCCTTAGTGGTGGATCCGGCTGCAAATTAACCATTGCAGCGGCAGAAGATTTTCCATTAGTGACCAGAGTGCAGCGGCTACGGGGGACAGTTGTGTATGAGGCTCTGATGTGTTTCTCTCATTCCTTTTCTTTCAGCTTTTGTGTCGAAAACGCAGAGGGCCGTGAATGAGCATAAGTGCAGCGAAGTCTCACGGCGCTGCTGTTGGAGGCTGGTGAGTCATGGCCACTTACGTTCTGCCTCAACCTCCATTCTCAAACAGTTTCATTGAAATATGCAAAGAGTCTGTTAAGTTACGGCGGTAATTACTGTAAATGGACGCCTGACTCTTCAAAACCTTCACACACGAAATGTTCCGAGTCATTAATGTACGCCGCGGCTCGATCTGTTGCTCGGGCACGTGATCGCAAGTATGCACGTGTGCGCATGCAAAAATCAGGCATAAACAGCCTGATGACAGTGGAGCCAGTACTTCAGGGGTAAAAAGTGGCTGATAATGACTGTGACTCAGACAGCAGCTCTAATGATGCATTCTGCCGAGCCGACCGACCAACACAGCACGGGAAAAATTAAACACTCGGATGAAACTTTCTCTAAGGTGCTTCAAAGTGCCTTGAAGCTCTCTGCTGCCTTTGTAGATAGACAGCCCGCATTTATGGCCTTCCTGGATTTCAGTGATTAGCCATAATTGAACAGAATCGTTTAAATCTTGGAGAGGGTCATGTTTCCAGGTTGTTAAAAAAATGATAAAATAAAAAAATCCTCTTCCCCTCGATCCTTTTCTGTATGCCAAACCTTTATGCATGATGATAATTACCATCTAATTACCATTAAATTATACCCTCTGCTCTCGCCATAAGAGCTGATTGCCAGAGTCTGCCGTTGTGTCTCACAGGATGTGCATTAAGGCCGGTTTCTGGCGTCGAAACGATTTTGGCATCCGTCGAGTTTGAGTGTACCTGCGCTGTCATGTTGTAATGTATGGCAGCGGATACGCCTTTAATATGTCACGTTCTAGAGGTTTAATTTTAAAGACTGTGTGAAATGATTTTCTTTCGGAATCAATTCAAAATGTTCCATTTCAACCGCCGGGGGGAGAATGATCTTTGACAGCACTAGCAGGGGAGGCAGGCGTCAGGCTCTCGGCTCCCAGCATGCACCAGCAGTCATGTTTCCATTAAAGAGCTTTGTGTGCTCTGACAGTAAAACAAGAGGAACGCCATCTATCACGTTATAACGTCTGATTAATGTGGCTTACTATCTTTATTGAAGTGCATTGATGTATATGGAAGTATGGAAACGGCGTGTTATGACACGCAAGCTAAAAAGTGTTGATCACGATCGGCACTCCAGAAACACCTGCAGAAGGTTAACAGCGAGTGAAAAAACAACATCAACATTTAATTCATCTGCCGGTTGGGTCGGTGCCGCATTTAAAAAAGAAAAGGGGGAGGTGAAGAGGGTTGAGGAGCTGATAGAGCCAGAGAGAATGGAGGGAGCGAGTGAAACCGAGAGAATAAAGGTGAGGGTCTGAGTGACTCACTCTCTGTAAGTACTTATCCAGCAGCTCTGTAAAGTGGCCGACCACCTTCAGAGTAACAAGCTCATTGCCTGGCTTCTATAGCACTGAACACTCTCATATATA